CCTTGCACGCTGGCTGGACATACCCTGCGGGTGTCCCCAAGAGGGCAGGGATGACAAACACCACCCAGAAGGTGCCTGTGACCTTGGGAGAGCAGTTTGCATGGTTGGCCCAGACTCCAGCAGCATTTTGTATCCTTTTGCAGGTCGATGTGCACCACAGTCCGTCACAAATAGCTCAGCTCCCCCTTCTCTGGAATACATTAATCATGCAAGCATTCAGTGAGTTCCTCCTGCAAAACCTGCCTGCTGTTTTCATCTTATCTTAGGAAAACTCACATTGCCTAGCAGAGATTGTGGAAAGGGAGAAGGAAGGATGCACACACAGACTTAGACCTGACTATCTTCCCTTGTCATCACATCAGGGATGAAAATTGCTCTCTGGAAGAGCATTGTAATCACAGAAGAACACAAAGTGTTACTTGGGTCCCCTGTATGCAGAAGGGGTTTGCTGAGACCCGAGCATTCCCCCTCCTTCCCTTCTGGGACCCAAGAGTTTTCCTCTGCAAACAGGAAACCCTCCTGAGATCAAAGGTTTTACTTAATTCCTCTTAGTGTCTAAATCAAATATTTTCTTTGTGCTGTTCCTGTTTGCAGGGACAGCTGTTTCCTGGGTGCTGCCCTGACCTCCAGGAGCACACAGCACCTGGGACCATTTCTGTTCAGATCAGGGGTTGATGTAAGTCCCTGGCACTATCAGACAGTACAAAGAACAAGTCCTGCAGATGCCCAGGGAGTCTGCTCAGGAGTGAGCCCACAGGGGCTGCCAGGGCTGATGCAATTCTAACCCTGTCCTACAATGTTTGTTTAACCTCCTTAATCCCTCTACAAAGCCTGAAGAATTTTCTGTCATTCCAAGGGTATCTCCAGAGTTCAGAGTTAGGGTGAACTGTTGCCAGAATTCTGGAGCTTATCAGGGAGAAGACTCCAGATTATTTCACACTGTCCTGCCACTTTATCTGCAGCTCAGCTCTGCCACCCCCACCCATCAGCAACATCAGGCTTTTCCTTGTCATCTCCTCAGCAAGGAGCCAGCCCTGCTGCAGGGCAGGACATGCATCACTGTCACACCTCTTCATACCTGGGTCACCTGTGCACAACCTACACCACCCAAAAGCTGGCAGGGAAACAGGAGGGCAGTGGGGAGCTTGTCACACCCACACGATCCACGTGGCTTCAAAGCACTGTACTGGCCAGGTCACAACTGACCCCACAGTCCCAAAGGTGGGTAAAAAAACCCTGCTGGCATCCAGAGCCACTGCTTCGGTGACAAAGATCACTGGGGACCCAGGGAGCTGGGCAGAGGCCTGTGACAGGGAGTTTGCCATCCTGGGGGCTGAGCAGAGCTATAGGGTTTCAGATCTCCCTGTTCTTTCCACGAGCTGTCAGCAAGGCTGCAGCTGTCACCGACCCTGTGCCAGTGAGAATGTGGAGCTCAGGTTACCCTGCACACCTCAGAGGAAACACCACCAGGCTGATGTGGCTGACACATCTCAGAGATCAACAGCAGGTACCCCGGGGGCTGGGGCAACTCTGAGCTCTGCACCCGAGACAGGAATCGAGTTCCCAGCTGCCAATTAAAAACAGAGCCTGTTTGCTTTATGTACTCTTAATTCCACATACACAGATCAAAAAAGGAAGCAGAAAAAAACCAGAATAAATTATTCTCAAACCCAGCTGAATGTGTTTGCCCTTGAACAATCAGGGTCAGTGTAAAACAGCCCTGCAAGGTCCTGGGGAGAGTATGCTGGATACCTCCAGGGAGAAAAGCCAGCTCACCCCTGACCCTTCAGCCATTCAGGATGCCCTGATGTGGAGCCAGGGTAGCAGCAAGACACTGCATTTCTAAAGGATAGAGTAATTCCTCCACACAAAAGGCCTGTTAGGTGAAGGGATATCCCTGAAAAACATATTACTGCTATGCGTGCAGCAGGCAGGATTAATGTCTTATTATTTGGGCAATAAAGTCTTTCTCAGAAGAGCGTGTGTTGAGAAATTCTGCAGCAATTCTGCCATTCTTCAGATAGCACTGCTAAGGAGTTATGTAGCACCTGTCCAAGGGGTCTGCAATGCTTGTACTCAACAGCTCAGAGAACAGGTTTGAAAAAGACCAGAAAACTACCAGAAATGGGGGTATGGGCAACCTCTCCACTCAAGACCACTGCTTTTCTGCAGTCTGGAATCTAGAAAGTCTGGAATTTCTAATGCTGCAACACCTCAGTCTCACTGGAGAATTACAACTCACTGGAACCAGCTACCCAGCTGATAAGGATTTTCTGCCTGTAGTTCAGCCAGTGTCTTGCTCCAGAGGTAATTCCTTGGAGCTGAGTTACTCCTTTAGGAGTTGATTCACTGCAGTGCTCACTCTGAAGGCACATGCAATATTCCTCATCAAAAAGTGCACTTCAGTCCCCAGTTGGAACCAAAAAGAAGAGTTCAGTCTGTTCCTAAGACTCAATTTCATATCATTAGCTGCCATCCTGAATCAAAATCTGCTGGCTGAAATACCCTGAACTGGCACCAAGTGTGGGGTTTTAGGCTTTTTCCTTTTGAGGGTCCTGTTGCCTTTATAGTGAGGTCACTGTGAGCTTATTTAGAGCAGAGTGGCCAAACTGAAGTGAGGGAAAGTGCCCCCAAACCAGTGTTGTGCCTGGCTGAGCTCCTTGTTTTCTTTCTTTTTTCTTACATCTGGCACTAGGTACCCAAGTCACGACCAAGAGAAGAGAGAATGATGGCTCCTTTCAGCAAGGCCATAGAAAAATCACATTTTCCTTCTTTCAGCCCCCAAAGGTAGCTCACTGGAGAAGTAGTTCAGCACATGCCATCACTTGCAGCTTTCTGTGATAAATTAGAGCTGCTAGTGAGAGGCACCATGCCAGGAAAAAAAAAATGAAATGTTTGTCTACTGCTTTGGTATGACAAAATTATCCACATACCAGCTGGATTTTTCATTTATCTTTGATTCTTGCAAATGCACTCACTACTGCTGAAGAGGAAGCTGCACAAGTTGTAAATTCTCAAGTCCACAAACAATGGGGGTTTAAAGTTAAGAGCAAAATGGTAAAACCAAATTGCTCATCAATCCTTGGTGTGATACAAACTGATACTGGAGAGCTGCATTTTAAACCAGCTGATCAAATATGACCAATGGTTTATCCTCAAAAGAGTAAAAATATTTCATCAGTCTGCAATTACATAATAGCCAGCACTCTGGAAAGGCATGCAGAGGGGAGCATTCCCTCCTGCAGTGGCTGAGCCTCAGCACAGCAGTGCTGTGAACAGCCCAGCCTCAGGGCATGCACTCATTACCTGAACCAGGCAGTGCAAGCAGCACCAAACCCCAAAGTGCTCCAGCAGAGCAGAAACTGCGCTGGGGTGAGGCAGCCCTGCTTGCTCCTGTGCCCAGCTGTAAATGCTTCTGCACTGCAGTCAGCCTGTCCCTGACATGCCTCTGAAAACCTTAGTAAAGGTTTGCTTTACCATTTCCTTAGTCACAGGTTTTCAGTCTCCTCCTTTAAAGCAAATTAAGAATAGTTACCTTTGGGATCCATACCAGAATTTAGTTCTTTGATTGCTGCCACTGGATCTTTAATTTAGACATTTGAAATCTTGTTAGATGGGCTTTGAACAGTGCTAAATTCCTCCTTCCCTATGATTTTACACACCCTTTTCTCCCAGGGAAAGGCAGCAACCAGACCCATCCTTATCTTATACTTGCTCAGGACTGCTCAGCAGCAGAGTGATGCTGAACATCTGAGCTCTGCTGCTTCACTAGGACAGCAATTTCTCCTTGGGCTGCTCAGTAACACACAAGCCAGCTGAGCAACTGGCAGGTGAAGGAGGTAATTCAGATACCTGGATGTAACTTCGTGGCTTCTTCTCCTCATATTTCACACTTCAGAATTATACAATGTACTTGCCCAACAGCCATGGCACTAGTCAATGTCTGCCAGCCTCATTCCAGACACAAGCTGCAAGAACAGACCCCTCTTCCACAGGGCAACAGAAAAGCTAATTAGCATTCTCACTTGAGATTTTGCAACAGTGAGCTGTTCTAGCAGATGAGGCAGATGAAAAACATCACCAAACTCTTCATGCTTCACAATCAAGCTGATAACCACCATTAGATACCATATCATCTCAGCAAACCAGCTGCTGATGCTTTCAAATGTGGAAAACAAATTAAGAAAAAGAAAGAGCATTGGCTACAGCCTCCTTTCCATACATCTTATCTCATTCCAGGTTAACTAAAAGCCATCCAAAGAAAGGGGTAAATTAAACAAGGCTCCAGAGAAATTATTTCATCTTCCCCTGTACTTAAAGAGGACCAAACCCTAATTTAAGGTTCTTGCTGTGGCAAAACTAGCTATCTTAAAATGTTTTTATCTTTCCCATGATTTCACAATTTTTCAAGGCAACTTCTTGTGCTTTTAGGCTATAAAGCTTCCTCCCTCCACCCTTTCCCACCTAAATTTATTTCTAAGCTTCCCCCTTGGCAGTCTCAACTCTAGAGACTCAGTGTGAGAACAGAAGGCTCCTGTCCCTACAGAGTCCCTCAAGTATTACACCAGATAAATCATTACTGTTGCCACCAGTGAGTCCTCTCCTTCCTAGCCCAGAGCAGGAGTTCTGGAAGGTCCCAGCCACAGGCAGCTGCAGCACAGACAGACAACTCTGTACTCTGCACTGAGACAGGAATTGAGCTCCAGGTGACACACAGACAAGTCTTGCATGCCAGCTCCCTGCAACCACAGCAGACACAGCCCAGGAATGTCAGCAGCTCCCCTTCTGCATTCTAACCTGCTGAAGTTGAAGGTCACATTCCAACCCACAAATAAAACTTGTTCTGTGACAAGGAAAACGGCTAGAAAATCCTCAGGGGTTGAACACCCTCTTTACAGAGCTATGCAAGAAGAACTTTCACACCATAACCTGAAGCTTCATTAAATTCAATCCACATGTAGACATTAGTACTAAAAAAACAGAAGAAACAAGACACCAGATAAAAAAGGCTTAAAATCCACTTTAATAATGCATTCCTGTAACATTCCTCAGACAAACTCAAACTTTTTTAGTGGGACAATTACAGTTTGTGTTCAAACAGTTTACACTAAATGAAAAATCTTGTAGTACTTCTACACAAAGGACAGGCAAGGTTAGGATTATACAAACATTTGTTTCAGTTAAATCTTCAGCATGAGATACAGTATCTTTATCCAATAGATTGTACTTTACTACCAGTAAAAATAAAGAGATACAACACGTTATCAAAAAAATCCATCCAAACAAGAACCTCCCAGCCCTTCAGGCTGCACGACTGTCAACTACTTCAAAGAAACAAATGGTCCAGGTAAAAAGAGTAACTAACAAGTTAGGAGGGAAAAAAAATGAAAAAGAAACAAACAAAACCTCCTCCAACTCACTACATGACGTATCATTTGGAGCTATATAAATTTACAAAATCATGGGAGCTGCAAATGCTGCCCTGGTTCTCCAGAGACTCCCCTGTGCTCTTAGGCAAGGTACACTACACTAAAAAAATGCCAAGACGTACTGAAATTTTACCTCATTTAGTCTCATGATTTCAGCTGCAAATAGGAAACCTGGAATGGTCAAGGCATTAGGGTCCTTGCAAGATTTTACTGTTACTGAACCATGGCAGCCTCCCAGAATTCATTTTTTTCACTTTGAAATTAGGAATGCACCACATGAAATTTTCTAAAACCTTTACCAGTCAGACTGCACTCCCCTTGTCCTAGAGTGGCTTTACCAAAACAGGCCCCAATGAACTATCTGTAAAACATCCCCCCTCCCCCCAGGCTGCATGAACCCTGTGTGGCCTGCCAAGATCTCTTTCTCTGGGGCGTGTACAGGGCCTAGCTTAATCCTGTTAGTATCTGCGACGCTTGTTAGGGCCAAAATCCCCCCCTGGGTTTCCTCTGTTGAAGGCAGGCGGGTTCCCTCCCATGGCTCCAAGGCCTTCCATGGCTCCACCCTGGCCAAAGCGGTCTGGAGGTGGTGGTGGAGTCTGGGAACCAGGACGAGAGCACAAGAGGCAGGAAGAAAAACAAGGAAGAACAAAGGGCAGTTAAAAGCAGTTTGAGCTGATTGATTCCAATTCTACCAGGATTCCACAATTCCAGCTGACCTCACTGCAAACCTTCACCCCACCAAAAACATGCCCCAGTTCCAAACCTGCACCACTGGACCACTGCAGAACAAAGCTCCCTTCCCCACACTCCTGCATTCTGGGACTGAGTGCATCACCCCACAGCCCAGAGCCCTGCTGTGCAGCAGGTGAGGGTCTGAACTCCCCTTCCCTTTCCACTCCTGGCTTAATCTGCCCCCTTCATTTCCCTGTGTAATGCACATTCCCTTAACCTCGCTGCTTTGCTGTCCCTACCACTTAGGTACAGAAGTTTTTAGACAAATAAAACTTTCTTTGTGATAAAAAAAAATCTGTGTCAGAGCAGTCATGACAGAGCAAGAAGTCTGAGTAGGAATGTTTGCAGGAAAACTGTTAATTGGACCAGTTCATAAAAACCACTGAAGGAAGATGAACTAAAGAACAAACTTTACTATGACTGCTGCTGCTCCTTCTGCTGGTGACTGGAAGTGCTGACTCTGTGGGAGTGCCAATCCTCTGTGTGACAGAGGAATGACAAATGCCACAAAAGCCAGGGTCTATTGCAAAACCCTGCAGTAAAGTTTGAAACTAAATCAAATATGAAAATTTTAAAAAGTCAAACAAATAAGAATGAACACCACTGATTCTTAGCTTTTGACCTCCTAAGCAAATTAGCTGAACTCATTCTGGCATGTGAGATCAGGAGACAACCCTTTTCTGGTCATGAACAGAACACTCCTGAAAGCTTGGCTTTATGCCTACAACAATCTACTCTCAAAAAACTCTCAATTTAACAAAGTGGTTCCCATTAGGTCACTTAAAAACAACCACAATATTACTGCTAAGATCTTTCTAACAAGCATTTTAGCACTAGCTCTCTTGGAAGTAAATTAAGCCATTAGACTTGGCTCAATCTCCTGAAAATTATCAGCTAGCACCAAGGCAAGATTAACTTCTAAAGATTTTAGCAGGAGTGAAGCAACAGATCTGGGTGGACAAATAAGCTTCAACTTCAGCAGCTAGTGCTTAATACTGGAAACAACATAATATGCATTTTAGAGGTGTGCACAAAAAGCAGATGGAGATACACTACCATTCCCATGGCTCCATCAGGGATCATAGCTCCAGGACCAGCAGCAGGAGGTGCAGGAGCTGGGACATTGGTACCACCCATAGCTCCTCTATTGTTCATGCCAATGGTACCTGGAAAAGAAAACTGAGGAATAGTCCTGGCACACACACACAGTGACTGGAGTCTGCTCATCACCCCAGAGCCACAAAACATTGTTCCACACAGGGACAGAGTCCAGTCTATTAACCAGCTTTGCACTACCAGGTCAAGACCAGTTGATCTTGCTTTACAGCATGTTGTGTTTCCTGTCACATGAATACTTCCTCTTACTAGCCTGGGAGATTACTTTGACTGAGTTTCTAAATAAGAAGCCAATAAAATGAGATCACTAAAAAGGGTAGATTTTGTAAGGAAATTAACATGCCCAGGAACAAAGCATACTCTTACCTCCCATACCCATCTGTCCCATTCGCATGTCTGGTGGCTCCCTCTGGAAAGACAGACACTCATTTCAACTGATAATCAGGCTTTTAAAAATTTAATTATACAAACTAAAAGAGTTCTGAGGATTTACTACTGAACAATGTGTAGAAAAGTAATTCCCAGGGTACATTTCAAATAAAGGCAGGAGCAACCTTCATGTGATAGCTGCTGAATGAATAGGTCTTATTTTAAATATCTCATTATAAAAGGTTGTTTTTCAGAATTATAATAAAACATCCAGCAGCAAAGCTGCCATGCAGACTTTAACAAAGACATCTTGATGGAAAGATGTGCTAAGCAGTAGTAACACATTAGATAGAATTAGTTTTGCTACTCCCTCAGCATAGCTAAGAAGCTTTTCCTGTTGAAAAGAATGCAAGCTTACATAAAGACATAGTACTGGGTCACTTGCATTAAAATACCATTTAGTGAGCTCAATTTCTCTTTTATTAACCAAGCATCAGAAACACCTATCATGGATTTCTCCCACTGCAAAACCAGGGGCACTTCAGTTTGACACATATTTAGCTGTTTTGCCTAGGGGCCAAGCTGCACTAGTAAGCATTGAACACTTACCCCCAGCTGCACCAATGCCTCTGCACCACCTGAACAGCCCTACAGCTGCCTCCACAACAAGGTGGCTGGGACTGGAAACAAACTGCAAGGCATTTTTCTACAGAACTACAGATACTGTTATTAAAAGGCAGGTTACCACCAAGTTACACTACAGAAAAATACTTGACCAAGTGACTTTTAAGTACAAGCATATACCATGCCTGCAGCAATGCCTTCGGTTGGGATCATTTTATTGTGACTAAGACAGACTGCAAGCTAGGGATATTGCCAGTCATAATCATAACAGCCTTCTGCTGCAGTGCTTCAGGACAGTGTGTGTGTTGTTGTTAGAATAGAATTAGTCAGCCTACATTTTTTCTGAACAGCAAGACAGCTACAGAGGGTCCTACATGAAGAGCAGTGGAACAGAACGGGGAGATTTACAATTTCCCAGCTAAACTGTATTAAGATTGGAGGGAGTCAATTTAGGGCAGAATGCTACTGATGTACAGTCCTCCAACCAAGATGAAAATTGCCAGAAAGCTGTGCTGTGGAAGGGAAAACCTGTGAGTGCACAGATGTAATGGAAAGGTAGGAGCACTCGTACCGCATCAGCAAAATTCCCTTTAAAGCCTTCCTGCTGGCGTCTCATCATCTCCTCCTGCTGCCTTCTCATTTCCTCCTCACGGCGCCTGCGCTCTTCCTCTTGCCTGTAAAGAAAGTCCAAGGATGCTCAGCACAACAAGCACCAACCATCTGTATCACTGTGCTGCAGTGCTGCCTCATGGATCTTCATTGGAAACTTTACACTTCAAATTTTCAGTTTTGAGAGCTCATTTGAAAAAAGAAAAAACCACTTGTGTGTGTGTCTCATGAGGAGCAGCTGAAGGAGCTGGAGAGGCTCAGCCTGGAGAAAGAGGCTCAAGTGGGACATTATCAGTCCCTACAGCTGCCTGACAGGAGGCGGAGCCAGGTGGGAGTCAGTCTCTTCTCCCAGGTAACAAGTGACAGGACAAGAGGAAACGGCCTCAAATCACACCAGGGAAAATTTAGATTTGACATCAGGGAAAATTTCTTCACCAAAACAGTTACAAAGCATTGGCACAGGCTGCCCAGAAAGTGGTGGAGTCACCATCCCTAGAAGGATTTAAAGGATGTGTAGATGTGGTGCTTGGGGCCTTGGTGGGCTTGGCACTGTTAGAATTACAGCTGAACTCATGATCTTAGAAGTATTTTCCAACCCTACGTACACAGCAGCTCCCAAATGCATGCTGTCTACATGCAATATCATGCATCAAGCCTGACAGCTCTCAAGCCCTTTTTATTACAAATAGTCTGGTAATCTTCCTGGAGCTTCTCAAAACAACCCCAAGACAAGGAAGTGCTACAATGGAGAGAGAAATCTGAGATCAAGTTACCCTCAAATGAAAACAGAGATGCTGGAATGGGATTTCCCAATCTGCAGCACTGGAAGGCACTAAACCATAGGAGAAATTCTGATTTTTCTAACTGCCTCATAAAGGAGCTTAACTGAGAGAGAAACGTGAAGAAGCACATACTAATCAATGGAAGAAACTTCTAACTCTTCCATCTTAAACCAAGTGTACACTCTTCCCGATGAACAAAAAAAGCCCAAAGTAACAGGCACACTTGTGGTAGTAATTGAATTGTCACAATGAACAATTAGGTGCAGTGAAGAGATGTTTTATTCTGCTCTGGATTCACAGCATTTTACAACCTCCCCCTTACCTGAGTTCCAACTGTTTACGTTTTTGTACTTCTTGGTTATGCAACTCCTCCATTCTCCTGAGCTCCTCCTGGCGCCTCATTAAATCTGGGTAAGACAACAGTAAAAATCACAATCAGACTCATCTCCCATGCCACCTCTTATGAATTCCTGAAGTAGAACTATAACATAGAAGAGAAAAAGATAACAGAGCCTTTACCAATACAGTAGCATCTCCCCACGTTAGGTCTAACAAGACTCAGTGCCAGGTCCTGTCCTGGGTCACAGCAACCCCCTGCAGCTCCAGCTGGGCAGAGGGGCTGGAAAGTGCCTGGAGGGAAAGGCCCTGGGGGTGCTGCTCAGCAGCAGCTCAGCAGGAGCCAGGTGTGCCCAGGTGGGCAAGAGGCCACTGGCACCTGGCCTGTCCCAGCCATGGGGTGGCCAGCAGGACCAGGACAGTGACTGTCCCCTGATGGGCCCTGCTGAGCCACTCCTCAAATCCTGTGCCCAGATCTGGGCCCCTCATGACAAGAAAGACCCTGAGGGGCTGGAGCGTGTCCTGAGAAGGGAATAGACCTGGGGAAGGGTCTGGAACACAAGTCTCATGAGGAGCAGCTGAGGAACTGGGAAAGGGGCTCAGCATGGAGAAAAGAAGGCTTGAGGAGACTCAACTGCTCTACAAGTGCCTGAAAGGAGGTTAATGGTTGGACTTGCTGATCTTTTCCACCTAAGCAATGCTACCATTAATAATATATAATAATTCCATTTATATTAAATGGAAAATGAATAATTTAATAAAATATTAAATAATTCCATTTATTTGCTGCCACCATGCTTGGTTACAAGAGAAGCAACCACCACAGCTTCCCTTCAGTGGTCTCCAGCCAGTCTACTGAGCCACCCCCTCGTAGACAGTGCAGGGCCCTGCTCCCACCCTGTGTTTATTTATCTGGTACCTTGCCTCATGAGCATCACTTGGTGCTCATGGCGAGCTGCTTCCATTTCCATTTCCAGCTTCTCTCGAGCTTCCTTGATGTTGCGATCGACTTGTTCCTGCTGCTGCTTCTCCATCTCTATCAAAGCCTTCCAACGCATGGCATACTCATATTCAAAGCTGCCAGGCTGTGCAAACCGAGGAGGCTGCTCACGCTCCCTGTCAAACAATGAAGAGCTAGTGAATGCTTCAGGAGAGCAAGGAGGAAGCAAGAAAACTCCATTTGTGTGTCAAACGCAGCAGCAGACCCCAGTTAACCATGCCTGAGACACCAGTTTGCTCCTCAGGCATCATCTTATTCCTGCACAGAAACTGTCCTCCTCCATAACAAGCAATGACACTGCTTTCATAAGACACCAAGAGATTCTGGGTAGAGATTCAGAAATACCCTTGAAAGCAACAGCCTTTGCTCCTGCTGCACAGTTTATGGACAGAAACAAACACTGCCCAAATGTGCATGTTATTCTCACTCTGCACCTGTAGAACAGGACTATTCCTAATTCCGCCTCCTGAAGCTCTCATCTTCCTTACTTGAAAAATTCATGAGCTCACATGGTTTGCTAATGCCAACTGCTCAGATCACAGGATTCTTACCCATACTGGGAAGCCTTCTAAGACTTATACCTTTTTTTTAAGTCTTCTACCTGGATAGCTCTACAATCTCCTAATGCTAGTCACATAATTCTTTAAATTTTTACTGTGGGTTCAAATGTTTCCTACAAAGCCTTTCTGTAATACGTCCCAGGGAATCTCATGTCATCTATGTTATCTCAAATTGACCTAATTTTTTTATTCCAACAACTGAAATGGACTTATACAAAACATGTGAAGGCTGCCAGTCTTATCCAGCAGTGTGGATTCAAAAATCACTGTTTTCTTTCAGCCAATCATGGCAAAAGAAGAGTAAATGCACTCTCCTTTCAAAGTCAGGTCGCATTTATGGAAAAAAAAGGAGGATCTGATGAGCCACCCTTCTAAGAATAAGACACTAGCACAGGCACTCTCCTCTCCTGCTGCATGCCAGGCACATACTTGTGATATTGCTGGTTTTTGATGACTAGTTTCTCTGGTAGACCCTCCTCATCATCATACTGATCCATGGGCTCCACAGTGACAGGGCGAGGGAATCTGTAAAGAAAAAGTGAGATGCCTTCACGAAAATTCAAGAACAAGCTTGCAGTTGTGGAAAGCACAACTTAAACTTTTTTCTAGAATAGAAGTATAACTGTAAGTCAAAATAGTTGTTTAATGCAAACCAAAATTGTACTGGAAGAGTAATACTTTTAGTTACTTGCTTCAAATTAACAGCTTAACTGGAATCCTGACATGCTCCAGCAGGATCTACTCAGCATGAACTCTTGCCTCTAGAGTGGCACAAGTCCATCTGCCTTTTTATGGCTGTCTAAAGCAAAGAGTCACTCCCCACTGGAGGCTGCAGGCTGTACCATCCAGTCATCCTCTCCTGGTGAGGCCACCAAGTGCTATTGTTGCTTGGCAACAGTGCTCTAGGAAGGTCCACTGGGCCCTTGTCTGAATTTCCACCCCCCGGGGAATCCACTGGTGCACTTCACAACAGACACTGCAGATGTGCTTCTGTCTTCCTGGCTTCTGCTTGCAGAATATTGACCTGGTCTCTGAATCAGCTCCCATGAGCTCCTCAGTCCCATGTGCCAGGGCTGGGGAAATGAAGAGAGGTGATCCTGTGCCAAGTGGCAATGGGTGCCCAGGCTCCAGCAGGAAGGCAGGATATGGAAGGCTAAAATCCATTTCCTCAGCTGAAGATCCATAATGCACTTTCACTAATAATCTTATTTTTTAACATCAACAGATTTCAAACAGTTTATCTAGCTTTCCTGTCTTGAACTAGGACATACCAGAACAAGTTTAATCAAAACCAAACCAGAACCAGAAAGGAACAATAGACTTATTTGTGGTCTTAGATACCAGAACCTAATGTACTGATAACTATAAAGAGACTTAATGTTAACCTTAGTTATGCATTGATAGTGATTAGTTTTGCATGATCACTTTTAAAAATCTGTTTTCATGGTTCTTTCAGGTATAGACTTCTGACTCGGCAAAAGCTCCCTAACAGTAATCCTCCTGTAGACACTACTCATTATGCTGGTTATAGAAGCATCAAGAAGCATCAAGGAGAAAAACAGGTATTAAATAAAAAGCATCAGGGAGAAAAACAGGTATTAAAAAGAAATAAGCAAAACCTGCTTTTTGAAATGGAATGTGCTTGTGTACAGCTGTGCCACTGCAGATCCACAGGAGGTGAGAAGCATAAAACTTGAAAAAATTACTTTAAAAATGAGCAATATAGCTCCATTTCAGGAAGTGTTCTAGTCACAAATTCTAGGAGCATAATACAAAACAGAGTAATTTTTTCCAAGAGATCAGAAATGGTTCCCTCTTAACAGAGCAACAAGCTGCTTTGTGGAATGCAACTGGAATTGGTCATTTGCTTGAGCACGTTCACATAATTATGAGAACATGTTTTTCTGCCTTATTACATTCAAGCACAGGGATAACCATTTACAATGGTGAAAACTCCAAACAATCCAATCTGAGCAGCCTCTCCAACAGATCCACGCCCATAGTGGCTTTCCACTCCGTGGAATCCCATCCCAAGACTCTCCCCCCTTTAGTGACCCAGAGTGTACAGTTAACACACTTGCACTTTATTTCCAAACAAGTTATATGGATGGTCTCTGAAACAGGTCCTGCTCTTAAAGGCTGCTTTAATTGCCCTAAGGTTGTTTCATGGAGAAGTTTATTGGGAAGTTTTATGCACTTACCCCATTAGCAGCTTCCCTGAAGAAAGTTTTCAGACCTGAGCTTCAGCACAGACTGTCTCTTGTTGGAACAAAGCTAAATAAAATTCTCCCCAGGCCAATCCCCTAGCACTTTGTGCCCCATCTGTCCCAGCATTCACCAGCCAATGCCACCCAACCTCTCCCCACGCACACTTACGTAGTCAGCAGGAAAGACCCATCACTACATCTATCCAGCGCTTTCCTAGCAGCAGGCTTCCCTGAGAACTCCACAATGCCTTTGCCAGAGGATCGTCCTCTGTCATCCACAATAACCACAGCCCTTTCCACCTGGCCAAACACCGAGAAGGCTTCCTCCAGGAGCTCGTTGGACACAAACTGAGGCAGGTTCCTGACTGTCAGTGAGGCGCTGTGGCAGGCGAAGCGCACGCGGAGCTGCTTCCCACGCAGAGGCATGTTGTCCAGTTCCACCTTGGCAATCTCTGCCAGAGTGCGAGTTTCCTGCAGAGAAAAACAGCCTGCATTAAAGCTCCCAGTAAGGCACGGGATTAAGCACAAGCTTATTTCTCCACAAGTACTTCTGAGAGAAATAAATGATTCCCCCGCAGCTTGGTAAGAAGTGTGCCAAGAAGCACAGCTATTCCCTACCATGAATGACTGAACAGGCAGAGTTTGGGGGTGGGGAGGGTGAGAAATATATAACAAATACCTAAGTTTAGTGCAACAGCTAGTGTGAACTAAGCAAACAATGAAATTTTCATTATGACATATTATATTAAGGCTACAAAGGCACCTTTTTTTAAAAACCAAACACATTAAAAAAACCAACCAAGATTCATCTATTAACCCAGTCTGATAAGTAAATGCTGACAGTATGACAATCTGAGAAAGACCTTCTATGCCACTTTCACACCTTTCCACTCATCTAAGTAACTACCAAGCAGCTGCACTACGTGAAAGTGGCCCAGATAAGGGTGTGGGAACCTCATCCACTCACCTCAGGGCTTCCACAAAGGTGGTGCATGAGCCACAGAAACCTGAGAACCACTCCATGGTGGTAGCTACTTCCCCTTCAGACACACTTCAATGTGATCATCTAGAGATCCCCTAGCCCAAGAGCATTCATCACACCAGAAATGCTGCATGACAAACTATGCCCATAGGAATTCCATATTCCAGAAATAGAAAAGTTCACATTGTCTATAACAGCATCACATTCATGTGGAGTTTTTTTTCCTGCTTTCTACCAGCTGATTTCAGAATAAATTTATCAGATCTCTCATAACTCCTGCCACAAGTTGCATAAATTCACATCTCTCTTAATAGCAAGCCCTAGATAAATCACTTGGAAGCTAATCCCATACTCCAGGTTACTAAGATCATCAGCAGGTGTAATCAGCAAGACATCTGAACATGTACTACTTTCAATTAGCAACACTGCTCCACTGTGAGCCATCACCACAAACCTCCCCAAAGTGCCAAGTCACTCACCAGCCTGATAAAACCAAAGCCTTTGTCCTTGTGTATGAAGACTTCCCCTGCCTTGCCATACTTCTCAAACAACTTTCTCATCTCTTCCTCTGTAATATCTGGGGGCAGATTCCCCACAAAGAGGCGGCTTCTTTGGGTGAAGGTCTTTTCACCAGGTTTCCGGAAATTCTTCAGGTCAATGGTCAGGCCTTCATCTGAGGGGAATAAGGTACACAGCTGCTCTACAGTTGGGGGGATAAATTTTATTAGGTTTCATCACAGTGACCACAGAGACACAGGATAATACAGGCAACACACATTTTGCTCTTAAACCTCTCCAGCCATCTCTCCAGCAAAGAGGGGGTTTTATTTTAGAATGGCCCCACAGCTTTTCTTAAAGAAAACTGAACATCAGTACTCATTAACACAAATGAGTGACAGTCTAGAACTGGAGAAAACAACACACTGCAACTTGAAATAACATCAGATATTTCACTCAAACTTTTTGAGATCTGGTCAAGGCAAATGGCCCACAAAAAAAAAATCAACTGCAGTCACAACACAGGATTTTGCTATTATGACACAAATAATTACAGAAAAGCCAAACTTTAGCCAGAAAACAGACTTTTACTCAAAAACACACCAAAACAACTCCAGATATCTAGAAAAAAACCCAAAACTAAAATAAGAGGAAATTTTGTTCAGACAGATAATATTCTATGAGATGGGTTCTGGAGTATGGGTTTCCAAGCTGAAGAGAAGGCTGGAATAGTTAAAATAGTGGGGACAAATACCAACCCAAAATTAAAAAAAACCCTGCCATATAGGTGAACCCTCAGAAAAATTACAGGATTAATTATAATAAAAAAATCACTATTTGGTAAGTTCTCCTAGAAGGGATTTTTAAAGTTGGAAAAGACCTCTGAGATCAAGTCCAAGGTTAAAATATTTTCTGAGCTATCCAAGAGAAATAAACACAAACAGTAACATTCTCAAATCCCCACAGGCATATACAATCTTTAACCCTTAGTTCAGCAAGAGCCCAGCATGATCCTGAAAGCTTTGTCATGTGCCAGACACAGGGGTGGATTTAGCATCACTTTATCACCCTGTCCCCCATTTTCTTAAACACACATGGAATTTCACTACACAGGAAACAGAAAGCAACTCCTTGGCTTTGCAGAGGCCACGAGCCATGGTCACACACATGAAATAAACTGTGAACATCAATGGCTTGATTCCAGTTACAAAACAAGGCACTAAATGAGAAAGACTGTCCATGCAAAGACAATGCAAGGACAACCCTCTGATAGGAGTGAGCACACCTCCATGGCCAGCACTAAATAACCAGACTGAGAGTGTGCCCACAGAAGGGCAGGGAGAGTAACTTATGCACCTCACACAGCAAAGGTGCAGGAGTGAAACATTTTGCCTTGTTCACAGCACTACCATGAGTATTTGGGGACCAATTGCAAGGGCTGTGGATACAACACGAGGTAATTGGAACAGAGTTACACTCAGGGGAACACAGAGTACCACTGTTCTGCCTCAGGAGATCATGCAAGGGAGTGAGACACAGTCACTCACTCAGTACGAGCTGATTCCTGTGGGAATTCCACAGTACAGCTGTACTGTTATTGTTTCCAACCTGACTGGAACCGGCTGCTCTGCCACTCTTGTGTGTTATTGTCTGGGAACTGATAAACTCCACCACTTGACAAAAACACGCTGGATTTTTACCAGCCCAGTATCCCTGACACTAAAAAACTCCACTCGGAGGAATCACACAAAGTGCACAGGTGACTCCTGTACATTTTTGTATTCGACCGCCAAAGTGTCCAAACTTAAAAAAAAAAATCCACATCTAATAAAACTAAAGCACTCTTTCCCTATCCCAAAATGCTAACGGAGATGTCTCGCCAGTTCTGCACCATCAGGTTAGATCAGTTCAGGCCCCCGAGGCATTAACGCCTTCTGCCCCAGCCCACAAGCACTGCTCCACACTGCCCAGGAAACCGGGACACCCGCTGCAGCAGAACGGCTTTCAGCAACTGGTACTGAATGCTCGGTAAAACTGGGCATCTCCTGGCTCCTCATTATAAAAAAAAAATAATCAGTCTTAAGAGGTGCCTGCAGATCGCTGCAACAACGTTCTCACTACAACATAACCTCCACCGAGCCTTCCTCCTGTAAAATCTAGTAACTGCTCTAGCAATCAAGCTTCTGAAGTTTCTAGTTTCCTAAGAAAACCTGTACTGAGAAGCCATCTGTTATGCCCGGGGAAAAAACAGGACCCAGACAATGAACACAGAGCTTGTTATACTCGCGGCGCTCACAGAGACACTGACAAGAACGCACTGACTTTCAAACTGTGAGCGATCTTTTCCTGCGATTTTGAGACAAAGACACAACCTCTATATCGCCTGCCCTGGTTTTGGGAACGCAAGAAACTCACGAGCACAAAAAACTTATGAACAAACGCCACAGGAGTCGCGTGTACCTCCGAGCGGACTGAGCAAAACCAAAAGAAAACCCACAAACACAACCCAGGCGCAATTAAAACCGTAGCTTCCAACAGGGGGAAAAAAACGGATACAGCAGGAGATGCCACAGCCTGCTGGGAATCTAAGGATTTATTGTTTTAACACGGAAAACCGGGTTTCTTTTGTTCCTGCCGGGACCTGTTGCAGCCCCGAGGGCCGCAGCTAACGCGAGGTTTCCCGCGGCACCGGAGCGGTCGCTCAGCGCCTACCCAGAGCGGGGCCGGGCGGGCCCCCGCGGCGGGCCCGGGACTCACTCTGGCTGTTGGCCTGCTGCCCGTTCGCGGGGATGGACGGCGGCGGGTGCTGCTGGTGCTGCTTGCGCGGAGCGTGGTTCTGCTTCTCCATGTTGAACCCCTTGTTGCCCTGCATCTTGCCCACCTAAAAGCAACACACGCGCGGTCGGGAAGGGGCCCCGAGCTCGGTCCCGGGCGGCTCCCGCCGGCCCCGCGTGCAGGGGCGGGGCGGGCCGCGCAGGCCGCGCCGGGCCCCGGCGGCCACGGAGCGGGGCCGAGCCGCGACCCTGCCGCCCCCGCGACCTCACCTGGCGGCAACACCGGACAGGGACACGGACACCGGGACAGGCACCGGCCCCGGACACAGACACCGGGACGGACACGGGCACCGGGACCGCGGCGGCCCTGAGAGGAGAGCGCGCGGCCGGAACTCGCGCAGCCTAACACGGCGCCCCTCTCCCTGAGCTCCTATTGGCCACCTGGCGCCCGCCGCCGCGCCGCTAACTGGCCAAGCCCGCCGTCACTCACAGCGGCCGCCGTAAGGGGGCGGGACCTGCTGGCCGTGCGCGGACCCCATTGGTCAACGGCGCGGCAGAGCGCGCTGCCAATCACGGCGGCGGGCACCAAGCTTGGGTGAGAGGCGAGCGGGGGACAAAGGGAGCGCCGCGAGCCGCCCCGCGCGCGGCGCGCAGGCGCGGTGCGGGGCGCGCGGGGGCCGCGCGCTTTTAAAGGGCCAGCGGCGGCGCCGA